TCCCAAATTTGTCCACAACTACTAAGACACTCCTGATTCCAAACTTTGCTTATTGCGAGTTATGAAAGTCTAGTTTTAAATGAATGACACATGGGGACTAGTAGGTCTTTACAGTGAAAAAACAATTGATATGTTATTAAGTGTTAATATGCAAAACTTCGCTGTTTAGATTTAGTTTTAAAAGTGTTTATAAGACGATTGAATAAGAATAAAAGAGGATCTGTTTGTTTTCATGGATTTCTACCCTATGTGTATCAGAGGCAATTCACAATCCCATAGCCTCCCCTAATAACGCTCTCTCCCCAAAGTCTTTCTCTATAATGCTTAAAAAGTGTTCTTTTTGTTAATGAACCCCTGCTCTTCTAATGCCCTCTGCATATTACTGCAAATACATGTAAATTACTACCTAATTTTATTTGTGAGTTAAGCCTATCGCCTGTAGAACGTTTGGTACAAGAAAAAAAAAACGCTTTCTTTTTCGTTTATTGGATTGGACTTCAGGCCCATACACAGAATATTTGAAAAGGGAGTTTTAATTTGTAAGATCAAAAGCCAACTCATACAATGCTAATGCTACATTGGTCTGGATATTTGTAAAAATAGGTGCTATGAGATTAAATCTGGAAGCAATTTTGCATGAAATATAATTTAAACAATTGCATGGGTGTTCATATAAAATCCACAAACATCCAGTGAAAAGTCAACAAATCGTCATTCTGTTGTAACACTACATGGGGAGATATAATTAAATTAGCATAAATATGTATGATTTATTATAGTAAAGTACTGTACTATCTAAATGCAGAGTAGTTATTAATTGTTAAATTATATTAGTAATTTAAACAACCCTGTGAGTTTAGCGATAAAGAGCGATAAAAAAGCCAACAAATCATCATTCTGTTGTAACACTACATGGGGAGCTAGACTTAAATTACCATAAATATGTATGATTTATTATAGAAAAATATTGTACTATCTACAAGCAGAGTAGTTATTAATGGTTAAATAATATTAGTAATTTAGACAACCATGTGCGTTTAGCGATAAAGAGCGTCTAGTGTCGATTTTAAAGTGACCGGACTGTATTGAAATAACAGAGTAGAGAAGAAATAATTCATCTTTTCAATTGCGTTCTAAAGTAATTGAACCAGCCTATGTGGACTTTGACGAGAAAAGAGACAATTGTTTAAAGCTCTGGATACAATTGTGTAAGAATTTTAAAATATAATCTTCTTTTTCGCCAATTGTCAAAATAAAAGGCTTTTGTTTATATTTCTTAATAGTATAGATATATACTATATTGTTGTTGTTGGGCTTAGGATTCTTCTACAATAGGCGTTTGTGACTTGTTAGCGATAACTTCAATGATAAATAAACAGCACGTATTTCACTTGTTTTAAAATATATATATATTCAGAATAAGTTAAACTTATGTCCAACAAATTCTTCATACTATAGAGATTATAGGCATATCATAAACATTATATATAGTTATTTTCTTACTGTCAAAAGTCCACAAACTGAAATACAGTGTTGGTTTGACTCCTCTGAACTTCCGATGAAAACCTTTTTCACTTAGTACATATCGTTCCAGTAAAGCCACTTTTAATTTGTCATAGTCCATTGCATCTTCTGACGTCATGCTTACTTATACTTGTAAGCCTTTTCCTGTGAGAAGTGGGCTTAGACAGACTGCCCAGTCGCCTTTGTCCCAGTTCTGACTTTGGGCAAACCTTTCATATCTCTCCAGGAAAGCATCCATGTCATCTTTATGTTCATGAAATTTGGGCAGCTTGGGTCGGCTGGTCCTGACTCCATTGTCATTCTTGGGTTCGTCTTCCTTTGGTTGGGTAAGTTTTGCTATCTCAATTTGTGCTCTTATTCTCTCTATTTCTAGTCTTTCTTCTCTCTCCTCTTATTTTTTTCTGAACTTGTGCTCTTATTCTTTCTATTTCTTTTCCTTTTCTGATTTTAGTTTTTCTTCCTCTCTTCTCTGCCTACACTCTTCCTTCTTTAGTTCTTGTTGTTGTTTAACAAACTCTCGTAGTTCACTGTCTTTAACCAAAGAGGTTCTCCAATTTCTATCAATTTATCAATATCTGACATGGTTAATGGCGTGATTGTGCTTATATAGGCTTATTTATTTCTAATATGGTCCACGTTTTCTTCTGTTGCCGTTTACCGCGTATAATCATGGGCTATGACTCGCCAATTGACAGAATTTTGAAATATAATATTTTATTTCACCTACTGTAAAAATAAAAGACTTTTACTTATATTTCTTAATAGTATAAATACATACTATGTTGTTGTTTGTTTGGACTTAGGATTGTTCTACAGTAGGTGTCTGTGGCTTGTTAGTGATAAATTCAACGATAAATAAACAGCACGCATTTCACTTGTTTT